GGTATCTCCATGGGGCCGTAGGCTTGCTGCGAAGGGCGCACGCGCGCACGGTCTCCAGCTCCTCCGCCTGGGCCGCTCCCCACGCCTCGAGGTGCCCGCCCTTCGCCCCCTCACTCCCTCGCCGTCGCTCCCCGCTCCCTCGCCCTCCCTCCCCCTTGCCCCTCGTTCCTCGCTCGCTCCTGCCTTGTGGTTCCTCGGAAAGGCCTCGCAGCCGTCTTGCCCGCGGCGGCGCGCAGCGGCCCGCGATCGAGGAACGCCCCCAGCGCCAGGAGAAGACGCGACCGGTGGAGGCAGCTTGCAGGCGTTCGCCGCCAGCCAAGGCTCAATGTGGTGTGCGCCCCCGACGGAAGAGAGGCGCCCCATGGCGAGCAAGAGCCAGCGGCGCGCATGGCGGATGCTGCTCCTGGCGACCAGCCGCAAGGTCGCCCTTGGCTTCGGCAGCTGGCCCGCCTCACCCTTCGGCTACGGCAGGGTCGAGCGGTGATTGCAGGAGCCAGCGGGCGAGAAGCGGGAGGCGAACGCGGAGCCCGAGAGCATCAGCTACAGCGCTGGGGGCAGGGCGTGCGAGGATGGGAAGGCGAAGCTGGAGCCCAATATCGCTAGTCTGAAATTCCCCACGACTCGCAGCGAGAAGTGCGTGGGAGGCGAAGATGGAGCCCGACCTTCAACTACAGTGCTGGGGCCAGGGCGCGCGCGAAGGGGAAGGCGGCGCTAGAGCCCGACACTGCCAGTCAGAAGTTTCACGCGACACCCAGAGAGAAGCACGAGAAGTGGGAAGCGACGATGGAGCCTGACATAATCAGCTACAGCGCTGGGATCAGGGCGTGCGAGGCGGGGAAGGCGAAGTTAGAGTCCGACGTCGCTAGCCGCAGCAGTACTGGGAACAGCGCGGACGAGAAGTGGAAGGCGAAGCTAGAGCCCTACACCACCAGCTACAGCGCTGGGGTCAGAGCGTGCGAGGATAGCAAGGCGAAGCTAGAACCAATATCGCTAGTCTGAAGTTTCCCATCGCACTCAGCGAAAAGCGCGAGAAATGGGGGGCGAAGATGGAGCCCGACATCATCAGCTACAGCGCCGGCTTCAGGGCTTGCGAGAAGGGAACGGCGAAGCTGGAGTCCGACGTCGCTAGCCACAGCACTGGGAAGAGCGTGGACGCGCGGACGAGAAGTGGGAGGCGAAACTAGAGCTCGACACCGCCAGCTACAGCGCTGGGAGCAGGGCGTGCGAGGATGGGAAGGCGAAGCTCGAACCCAATATCGCTAGTGCGAACTTCCCCACGACACGCAGAGAGAAACGCGAGAAGTGGGAGGCGAAGATTGAGCCCGACACCGCCAGCTACAGCGCTGGGGGCAGGGCGTGCGAGGATGGGAAGGCGAAGCTAGAACCCAATATCGCTAGTCTGAAGTTCCTCACGACACGCAGCGAGAAGTGCGTGGGAGGCGAAGATGGAGCCCGACCATCATCTATAGTGCTGGGGCCAGGGCGTGCGCGAAGGGGAAGGCGACGCTAGAGCCCGACACTGCCAGTCAGAAGTTTCCCGCGACACCCAGAGAGAAGTACGAGAAGTGGGGGGGCGACGGTGGAGCCTGACATTATCAGCTACAGCGCTGGGATCAGGGCGTGCGAGAATGAGAAGGCGAATCTGAAGTCCGACGTCGCTAGCCACAGCAGTAGTGGGAACAGCGCGGACGAGAAGTGGGAGGCGAAGCTAGAGCCCCCACACCACCAGCTACAACGCTGGGATCAGGGCGTGCGAGGATAGCACGGCGAAGCTAGAACCCAATATCGCTAGTCTGCAGTTCCCCATGCAATTCAGCGCAAAGCGCGAGAAGTGGGGGGGGAAGATGGCGCCCGGCATCATCAGCTACAGCGCCGGGATCAGGGCTTGCGAGAAGGGAACGGCGAAGCTGGAGTCCGACGTCGCTAGCCACAGCACTGGGAAAAGCGCGAGCGCGCTGACGAGATGTGGGAGGCGAATCTAGAACCCGACAGCAGCAGCTACAGCGCTGGGAGCAGGGCGTGCGAGGATGGGAAGGCGAAGCTCGAACCCAATATCGCTAGTCTGAACTTCCCCATGACGCGCAGCGAGAAACGCGAGAAGTGGGGGGCGAAGATAGAGCCCGGCACCGTTAGCTACGGCGCTGGGAGCAGCGCGTGCGAGAAGGGCGAGTCAAGGCCGGAAGCCTCTCACGACGCGCAGCGGGAAGTGCGAGGCGAAAGCCGAGCCCGACATCATCAGCTACAGCGCCCGGAGCAGGGCGCGCGAGAAGTGGGAGGCGAAGATGGAGCCATACATGACCAGCTACAGCGGTGACGGCGCCAGTAGGGCCATGTGGAATGCTTGTGCAGCGATCGCAGCGACGTGGCTGGCAGGTGGCGAAACTGGGAAGCTCGCCATCAACTACAGCGCTTGGGGCAGCGCGCGCGGGCAGCTGCAGCGGAAAACGGAGGCGAAGGAGAAGCCCGACGACATCAGCTACAGCGCTGGTGCCCAATGGGAAGCGGAGGACATCCATGGAGAGGGGGGGTCCCTCCCGAGACCAGATACCAGAAGTGCCTCATCACGCCCAGCAGGAGGTTCAGCCCCTTCACCCTGCCGGGCACGAACGGACGGCCCATGTGGCCACTCAGGCCAGATTTTGCGAGGATGGTCCTGAGGAGCGCGCAGTGTCAGAGACGCATTCAGGTAAGGCGCGTGTGAGAAATGTGAGAAGTGCAGAAAGTGTGAGGTCGACCAGCGCTGCCTCTCGAGGCGGAGCCAGGGAGGAATCTGCAGCGCCCTGCAGGCGCGCCCAGCCGAGGGCTTGGGCGCCGACGCGGACAGGTCGGCAACGCTTTGCCCGCGCCGCCGCCCCCGCGTTCTTGGCCCGCCTTGAGAGGGCCGCGTGCGCGGCGGCGGGGCGACGAAATCCTGAGTCCACGATGACAGACGAGTAATCCCGAGCAGTCTCGCTCGCTCCTGCTGCGCCTGCTCCAGGCGGAACCATGCGGGCCAGGGCACCCGTAGACCCCTGCAGATTCAGGAGGAGGAGGAGGAGGAGGAGGAGGAGGAGGAGGAGGAGAAGGAGGAGGAGGAGGAGAAGGAAGACGAGGAGGATGAGGAGGGCCAGAAGTGAGGAGGAGGGGGGCCCTTCTTCAGGGCCGTAGCCGACGTGTGCTTCAAGACCAGCCCCTGCTCCTTCGGCGGGTGCGGCTCAGGGGGCGCCCCTCCCCTTCTCGGGCCTGCTCCTCTGCTCCTCCTTCTTCCCCTTGGCTGTCCTTCCGCTCTTCCTCCTCCGCCTCCTCCTCCTCCTCCTTCCTCCTCCTCCTCCTCCTCCTCCTCCTCCATCTCTCAGGAGGGGAAAAACACACACAGACACAATGCATCGTCGTTTCCAGAAAATCTGGGAACATATGGGAAGTGGGGGGAGACAAAAACCCAGAACATATGCGAATATATGGGGGATCTCCTGATTTGTGTGTATTCATTTGTGTCCCAGGGCCCCTCCAAACTCCTCCTCCTCCTCCTTCTCCTCCTCCTCCTCCTCCTCCTCCTCCCCTTTCTCCTCCTCCTCCTCCTCCTCCCCCTCCTCCTCCTCCTCCTCCTCCTCCTCCTCCTCCTCTGCAGTCCGTAGCCATGTTGGTTCAAGCCATTTTGGTTCCAGCCGCCCACCGGCGGGCGGAACCCCCATGGCTCAATCCGGCACGGCATGGCCGTCCAGAGTTGGTGCGTTTGGAGGTTCTCTGCTGTGAGGTTTAAGGATGGTGTTGCGGGGCGCCGCGGCGCACTCGTCACACAGAATTACGCAAAACCGCAATGAGGCGCGTTGGCGTGCCAGGGATGCTGCAGACAGGGAGATCGTTCGGTTGACAGATCATCTGCGCCAAGCGCGCGCTGTTGATTCACTTTCCTACACCCTGTCGTCGTGTACGGCTACGTGGAGTTCGTCGTACATTGCGACGGAGTATTTGTGGCGTGGGCGTTGATGTCAAACAAATCCTCCTCCTCCTCCTCGTCCTCCTGTTCTCCCTCCTCCTCTTCCTCCTTCTCCGCCTCCTCCTCCTCCTCCTCCTCCCAGTCCTCCTCTTTCTCCTCTGCCTCCGCCTCCTCCTCCTCCTCTTCCTCCTCCTCTACCGACCCGCCGGTGTCACCCTCGGGAGGTGACCACCTCTACCTCCGTCATCTTCCGCACAAGCTCCGCTTGCGTCCCATGAGGACCGAAGTGCGGGAATTGTTGTTTCCGGTTACTTGAAGACCGAGCGACGTTTGCTTCCCCCTTGGGGAGGACAAGCCGTGCCCCCACTGGGAACACTATGATGGCTTGAATTCGGTTCGGTGCATCCTGGCGGCACCAATGTTGACACAACATGGGGCTCACATTTACACACACACACATTGTTGTCACACATCATGCTTGGGTCCATCTTTCGTCGCCCCCTCATGCTGGGACAGCTGCCCCACAAGCGTTGACCCCCTGGTCACGGGGCTGCTAGGCGGAGGTGGCTGCCACAGGATATGCGCTACGCGCATATCACTCACCAGTAATGGAGGATGCTGATTAAAAAATGACCGCGGGTCGTGTTCACGCGGCGGCGCCCGGGATGATGATTAGAAAAAACCGGCCCCGGGCTGGGAAACTATTTTTTTATCGTCCCCCCCCCCCCCCGCCGTCCTCGGGCGCGTGCCCCCCCTGGTGACGAAACACCGCACAGGCGAGCCCTGCTTCTGAGCGTTCCCCCCCGGTGTGGGAAACTATTTTTTTAATCGTTCCCCCCTCCTTTTTTTTTCTTAATCGTCATCCCACAGTACCAGGTGCCAACAGCGGAACCTCGTCTTGGCCGCGTGGCCGTTCGACCTCGGGAGTGGGGCTGCCCTGGACTCGGACGGGGTCATAGCTGGGCACGTACACTCTCGACACCCTAGGCCCCCATCCAGGGACCCAGGAAGCGACCGTTTAGGTTGCCACAGAGCTCGTCAACACCGACCCGCACTTGTCACCCTTGGGAGGCGGCCGCCCAAGCCTCGGACATCTTCCGCACGAGCTCCGCGGGCATCCCATGAGGACCGACGTGCGGGACACGTTTTTCGGTCACTTGAAGACCGAGCTATGTTTGCACCCCCCGTGGGGCGGACAAACCGTGCCCCCCTTTGGGAACGCACATTGGTGCTTGAATTCGGTTCGGTGCATCCTGGCGGCACCAATGTTGACACAACATGGGTCTCACATTTACACACACATTGTTGTCACACATCATGCTTGGGTCCATCATTCGTCGTCCCCTCATGCTGGGACGTCTGACCCACATGCGTTGACCCCCCCCCGGTCACGGTGCTACGAGGCAGAGGTGGTTGCCACAGGATATGCGCTACACGCACATCACCCACCATTACCAAGTGCAAATTATTTCAAGGGTGGGTGAGCCCAAGTGCTCCATCCGATTCAACAGGGTTATGGCCTACCCGTGAGGGCATCAGCGCTACTTTGCAATCCTCCTCTTCCTCCTCCTCCTCCTGCTCCTCGTTCTCCTCCTCCTCTCCCTCCTCCTCCTCCTCCTCCTCCTCCTCCTCCTCCTTCCTCCTCCTTCTCCTCCTCCTCCTCATCCTTCTTCTCCTTCTCTTCCTTTTCCTCCCCCGCAGCCGCTGCCCACCAGAGCCGCCCCCCTGGCCTTGTTGGAGAGGCGGGCGCGACAGAGCCCGCACACGCTGCAGACCAGCCACAACCTCACCGACCGCGTGCCACGACTCGACGAGTGCCTACTTGCAGGCTTCCGAAGACACATGCTTGCCCGATGCAGCGAATCGTAAGCTGCGAGTAGTCGCTCGGCGAGTCGTGCCTCGCGCTTGTCTACCGACCGGGGCAGCCGTGACCCTGAACCCCCTTGGGGGCCCATCGATGTCGGCACCCGCCTCGAGGGGTCCTCGACTCGGTGGGCTCCCCGCCTGTGCAGGCCTCGGGCCGCAGAGTGCGCGGGGCCCTCTCGCCCCCGAGAGGCGCCGCGTCCGCGGATTCTGCGGGCATCCTCTTCCTTCTCCTCCTCATTTGCTTCTTCCTCCTCCTCCTCCTCCTCCTCCTCCTCCCTCCTCCTCCTCCTCCTCCTCCTCCCTCCTCCTCTCCCTCCTCCTCCTCCTCCTCCTCCTCCTCCTCCTCCTCCTCCTCTCTCCTCCTCCTCCTCCTCCTCCTCCTCCTCCTCCTCCTCCCTCTCCTCCTCCCTCCTCCTCCTCCTCCGGAGGAGGTTCTCTCGTCGCCGCGGCCGGACGCGGCGGCCTGCAGGCTCGGCCAGGGGCGACCCCGGGAGGGGCCCGGGAGGCCCCGTGCGGAGCGCATGGGTCGGGCGCCGCGAGGGCTCCTCGCCGGGCGCCGTCGCCCGGCGTTGGGGCCTCCGGGGCCCCGCCAGGTCGACGCGGCCAGGGTGAGGAGGAGGAGGAGGAGGAGCAGGAGGAGGAGGAGGAGGAGGAGGAGGAAGAGGAGGAGGAGGAGGAGGAGGAGGAGGAGGAGGAGGAGGAGGAGGAGGATTGCCAACCATAATATGGTGTTGGGTCTTCGTTTTGGAGACACAGTCCCCGCGTCTCACCCTCCTGTCCTTCCCGCCCTCTCCCCACCCATCCCTGCCTCTGCCCTCCGCGTGTCAACATGTTCGGCACGCACCCAGCACGCTTCGTGGCCCCATAGGGAGCTCCACCGAAGGCCCCGGTGGCCGCCTTCGCATGCGTCCCCCCCTCCCAACACAGCGCGTCGTGGCCCCATAGGCAGCTTCACCGACGGATCCACTGGCCACGGCCGCCTGCGTCCACCCTACCCAGCACAGCGCTTCGTGGCCCTACAGGGAGCTCCACTCAAGCCCCCAAAGGCAAAGTTCGCATGCGTCCCCCCCCGCCCACCCAGTACAGCGCTTTGTGGCCCTATAGGGAGCTCCACTGAAGCCCCCAGTTGCAAATTTTGCATTCGCCCCACCGCCCAATACAGCTATCCGTGGCCCTATGTTGAGCTCCACCGAAGCGCCCAGTGACAAAGTTCGCATGCGTCCCCTACTACCTAGTACATAGTTTCGTGGCCCCAAATTGAGCTCCACCGAAGGCCCCAGTGGCCGCGTTCGCATGCGTACCCCCCGCCGAGTACATGGTTTCGTAGCCCCACAGGGAGCTCCACTGAAGGCCCCAGTGGCCGCGTTCGCAGCCGTCCCCCCCGCCCAGTGCAGCGTCTCGCGGCCCCATAGGGAGCTCCACCGAAGGACCCAGTGGCCGCGGCCGCATGCCCCCTCTCCCACCCAGCCGGGGCCGCGTGCATCACCCCCCACCCAGTGCAGCGGCGATTCGTGGCCCAATAGGAACCTCCACGGACGGCCCCCAGTGGCAAAGTTCGCATGTGTCCCCCCCCCCCGCCCACCCAGTACAGCGTCTCGTGGCCCCATGAGGAGCTCCACCGAAGGCCCCAGTGGCCGTGTCCGCATGCGCCCCCCCGCCCAGTACACGGTATCGTGGGCCCGCAGGGAGCCTCCCGCACACGGTGGGGTCCTTCGCCCGGGCATTTTTTGGTGAGTACGGGGTTCCCGGAGCTCTGGACCACTTCCCCGCAGGACCAGCTTCTCGCCCTGGGCGATTCTTGTTGACGGTCCTGGGGCCTGTCGAGGGCCCCCAGAGTCCGAAAGCAACGAGGAGCCTCCGCTTATGACTTCTTTCATCCGTTGGAGGTCTGGCTCCCACGGTTGTGGCTGGTCGACGTTGCCACCAGGGGCGATGGCCTGCAATCATGCCTTCGCGCTCGCCCAGGCCGCCGCGGGCCCCCGCGCCGCGCCGTCGGCGGCCGGGACGCCGCAGCCGGGCCGCGGCGCGACCCCGCCGCACGACGCCCACGGCATGGGCTGGCAGCTCTCGGGCTCGCTTGCCGCCACAGCGTCGTGCGTCGCGCTCGGGCGCCGGCGGTGAGGGTCAATCCGATGTCCGCATCAAATCGGCTGCGCGGAAGGGTGACCATTTTGGACGCCCGAGTGATCCTGGATAGCCCCGGTCCGCGGTAACTCCGGTTTGGGCCCCCGAGGCGCGAACTCGTAGCTACCCCTGATTTTTTCCAACCCCGATGGTCCGGGAGGGTGGGACGCCCGAATTCTTTGGGCAAATTGCGGTCTGGGGTAACTTTGGTTTTGGCCCCCGAGAAGCGAGTCCGTAGCTACATTTGGAGAGGAGGAGAAGGAGAAGAAGGATGAGGAGGAGGAGGAGGGGGAGGAGGAGGAGGAGGAGGAGGAGAAGGAGGAGGAGGAGGAGGAGGAGGAGGAGGAGGAGGAGGAGGAGGAGGAGGAGGAAGGGGAGGAAAGGGGAGAAGGAGAGGGAGAAGGAGAAGCAAAAGGAGAAGGAGGAGCAGGAGGAGAAGGAGAAGGAGGAGGAGGAGGAGGAGGAGGAGGAGGAGGAGGAGGAGAAGGAAGAGGAGGAGGAGAAGGAGGAGGAGGAGGAGGAGGAGGAGGAGAAGGAGGAGGAGGAGAAGGACTGACCACCCCCAGCCCTGAGGATTCGGAGCTCTTGGCCCCTCGCTGGGGTGACCTCTGGTGCGCGGCTCTCGCGGGGCGCCGTGGGGCCCGCCCCAGGCACGCAGGCCGCTGCTGTCGCACCGCACGCGGCGGCTGGCAAGCCGCGCACCACCGTCTCACGCGTGACCGGCTCAAGACGCGAATTCGCGGGCGACAAGCGGTATGAAATTATCTTTTTCGCCGTCGGGGGCGCCTGTCCCAGGGCGGCTCAGGTGATGGAGCAGTGTATTTGTTGCACTGCTCTTCGCCCGCTCAACTGAGCTGGTGCTGTTCTGCGCGAGCCCAAGAGCATCTGGGATGTCATACGTAGTACGACCTGGCAGGTCGCCCAGCAAGGTCTGGTCATGACCTCACAGGTGCGGCTGAAAGCATATTCTGCTCTCTCTCTCTCTCTCTTTCCGTCTCTTCTCGTTTGATCCTCTCTCTCTCTTGTTATTCTCTCCTTTTGGGCGGTGTATGTATGGATGATCCTCAGGACGTGTATCAGCCCGATGTGTGTGTGTGTGTGTGTGTGTTTACCCCGTTCAGCCTCCACCGACAGCACGCAGCCTGTGTCGGCCCCGATTCCACAGCCCGCGGCGCATTCGAGGGCCTCGGTGGACAAGCACACCTTGGCGCCAACCCACGTTCCGAGGATCCTCGAACTCATACCGACGCCGCTGCCCTGCGCCCGCCTCCTCGGCGCCACGGCCGGGGTGCTCTCGCCTCGACGCCCTGGCCTCGGGACGCATCCCAGGAGGGGTGCAAGCGGAGTGCAGCGGTGCCCGTAGGAGGAGGACGTTGGTTGAGGAGGAGGAGGAGGAGGAGGAGGAGGAGGAGGGGGAGGAGGTGGAGGAGGAGGAGGAGGAGGAGGAGGAGGAGGAGGAGGAGGAGGAGGAGGGAGCAGGAGGAGGAGGAGGGGGGAGGACGACGACGAGGAGGAGGAGGAGAAGGAGGAGGAGGAGGACGACGACGAGGAGGAGAAGGAGGAGGAGGAGGAGGAGGAGGGGCGAGGAGGACGGAGGGATCCCTTGTCTTTGGTTGCTCCCCCCAGGCGGGCCGGGCGGGCGCCCCGGGGTGTCCGGCGCAGCGCCGGCGGGGCGACGCCCATCGCCAAGGTGGACCGGACGAAGACGGACAAGGTCCGGAAGGCGATGTACCGGTCGTCATGGGAGGAAAAGGTACCATAAAACGACGCGAAGATCGGGACAAAATCGGATCGGGATAAGTCGAAATCTCTGAGGATCGGCGGGTTTGGAGAATGTATTGGGCGCCGCGGCCGCTCCAGAGCGTTCCGGAACGCTCTGAGAGCGCTCCGGAACGCTCTGGAGCGATTTATCCCGATCTTGGCCCTGTTTTATACCAACTGGCGCCGTTGCCCTTTCCTGGGTTTTCGCCTTTTTGGGGCCTCCTGGGAGGCCCTCGTCGCAAGCGCTGGATTCGCCCTGCAGTTCTGGTGAGAACGCACCCCAGGAGAGATCAGGGGAGCAGCGGTAGCGGTAGCTGCCTTTTCGTTTCCCGAGGTCGGACGATTACTACAAGTTCAGCCGCGACGGCATGGCGACCTCCATCGAGAACCTGAAGGAGAGCGCGGGGAGCGAGCTGCTGACCAAGATCCGCTTAGCTGGCTTCGTGCACCGGGAGGAGTCTCTCACATTCGTCCTGGCCCAGTCTTACGGGTTCTGCTGGGGGGTAGAGCGGGCGATCGCCATGGCACACGAGGCGCGCCGCTTCTTCCCTGATAAAAAGATCTGGTGCACCAACGAGATCATCCACAATCCCGTCGTCAACGATGGCCTGGAGAAGATGGGCATGGGGTTCATCGAGCAGGACAAGACGAGCGGGAACAAGGACTGGAGCGTCGTGAACAAAGGCGATGTTGTGCTGCTGCCAGCCTTCGGGGCGTCCGTGGACGAGATGGCTTTCTTGCAGGAGAGGGAGGCTAAGATTGTGGACACCACCTGTCCTTGGGTTGCCAGGGTTTGGGGCGCTGTAGAGATGGCCAAGAGGAAAGGTTACACTGCGCTGGTCCACGGAAAATACAACCATGAAGAGACAGTAGCGACAACATCTTTTGCTTCCTCGTACTTGGTGTTGAAAGGCATCGAGGACGCGGAGTACGTCAGCAACTATATCATGGAGGGAGGCAGCAAGGACGAGTTCATGGCGAGGTTTAAAGGATCTCACTCGGATGGGTTTGATCCAGAGACTGACCTGACAAAAGTTGGAATGGCAAATCAGACGACAATGATGAAGAGTGAGACGATGATGATGGGGAAGCTGTTCGAAAGGACGATGCTGAAAAAATATGGTCCTCAGAAGTTGAAGGATCACTTCATGACGAGTAACACCATCTGCGATGCGACACAGGACCGTCAAGATGCCATGTACAAGATGCTCGGAAAGGAGCCTCGAGCTGTCGATTCCAAGTTGTATGCCGTCCTTGAAGAAGAGCAGCAGGATGTTGAATTTGACCTAGCATCGGCTAAGGTGAAAGACGATACGTCTTCAGCGGCAATGGAGAACAAAATGAAGGGGCCCTCGAATCCTGTTCCCGATGACTATTCGGAGGCGGTGGATTTCGTGCTCATCATCGGCGGGTTCAATTCGTCGAACACAACCCATCTAGCAGAGATCTGCGAACAGGAAGATGTGCCCGTGTATCACATCGACGATGCGACGAGGATTGGCGGTGCCAGTGGGCTCGAGAACACGATTGAGCACAAGCCGCTCATCACCCCGGTCAGTGTTGCGATGGCTGGGGAGGGCCTCGAGGTAGCCAAGGGAGTCTTGACGCCAGGACGACCCATGAGGATCGGGGTCTCCTCCGGCGCCTCCACGCCCGACAAGATCACGGAGGAGTGCCTGCAGAAGCTGCTCGCCATCAAGGCCGAGGTGGACAGGCAGGCCTAGGGGAGCTGCCGGGACGCCGGCCGGCCCGCAACCCCCGCTGGACGGGCCGGAAACAGGGCGCTCCGTGAGCTCTTCTCCGGCGAGTCTGACCCTGAATGACACCGTGGGGCGTCCCAGGGCGCTTCGATCAAGTGATTAGCGGTTCGGCGCTTGCCGCTGCTGTTGCATGCCCACGTTTTACGCCTTCGGTTTTTCAAGCCGGGACCTGAGGAGGAGGAGGAGGAGGAGGAGGAGGAGGAGGAGGAGGAGGAGGAGGAGGAGGAGGAGGAGGAGGAGATTAGGAGGAGAGGAGGAGGAGGAGGAGGAGGAGGGGAGGAGGAGGAGGAGGAGGAGGAGGAGGAGGAGGGGAGGAGGGGGGAGGGTGAGCGGGCGGCGCGCGATGTCGTGGCCGGCCCAGCAGAGCCGTGGGCCGCGAGGAGAGCCCGCAAAGCCTGGCTTGTGCCTGCGCGGTTGGGAGCAGTTGGGAGCGGGGGGCTGTGCGCCAGGTCCTTGTGAGGCCTGGCCCTGCAGAGCACCCATGGCCAGTAGGTAACGTTTCGAGGGCGAGAGGGGGAGGGATGAGGAGCAGGAGGGACGAGGGGTGCCAGGGAGGAGGGAGGATGTGGGAACCATCGGATGAGGAGGCAGGAGTACGGGGGAGAAGGAAGGGGAGAGGGATGATGATGATGATGATGATGATGATGATGATGATGATGATGATGATGATGATGATGATGATGATGATGATGATGATGATGATGATGATGATGATGATGATGACGATGATGATGATGACGACGACGACGACGACGATGATGATGATGATGATGATGATGATGATGATGATGATGATGATGATGATGCTGATGATGATGATGATGATGATGATGACGAGGAGGAGGAGGAGGAGGAGGAGGAGGGGGAGGTTCAGGACGAAGAGGGGAGCATGCCAAGATAACGACGTGGAGGGGAGGTGGAGGAATACGTGGTGTATCATGTTGCAAAGGGTGAGGCGGGAGAAGCTACAGCAGCAGCTTCCGATCTTAACTGCGCTCAGGGTGCTGCAGGCTGCCATTGGATAATCACGTAGCCGCAAACATCGTTTTCCCCTTCTCCATCTCACTGTCTCCTCCTTCCGCTTCTCTCTACCTCCTGCATCCTGCATCTTCTTGTTTTTCCTTCCTTCCCAGCCTGCGTAATCAGATAACGATGTTGCACATAGTTTGTGTGTGTGTGTGCTGGGAGAGGGAACATGACAACTGGTTCGGGAGTGCGCGTGCAACGTATGCATACGCGTGTAGAACATCTGCATGTGCGTCTCTAGACACATGTCTGTACATACAAGTGGAAGTGTGTGTTGCCAGTGAAACTGTTTAGGCACATCGCATGTACATGGCAGCGATACCATGCAGACGTAATCATCTCCTGCACGACTGATCACAGGATGTAGCAATTCCAGGGGGAAGCAACGACAGCTGCATGCGCATGAACATAATCATCGGTATAGGTGTGCGTACATGTAGGCGAAGGTATGAAATTAGGGTGTGTTCGAGTGTCGGGTAGAGCAGATCGCACAGAGTAGTGCACACTGCTAGGTAGCGTGTGGCACATATCCGAAGGGCATCGCCATCTGCCGTCAGAGTTGCTTCATATTGCTTGCATGGCTACGCTCGGTTGGTTGGCTGGTTGATGTTCGGGCCGATTGGCTGGCTGGCAACTCGGCTGATTGGCTTGTCGTCTAACCTCAAATGCCGGCCACTTGTTTGGGCTGGTTGTAGGCTGGCTGGTCGCAATCGTGCAGCAACATTCAAAGGGTTGTGGCCTCGGGGGTGCGGCTCTGGTACACTTTTATGAGGCGCTGTATTTCTTGGCCTTCAGCCTATCCCGCCACTGTGCCTGGGTTGCCGGTCAGAGTTCTCAGGGATGCTTCTTAGAGTCTTTCGGGAGCACTTTGCGGGCCTTTTGGGGGGCAGTTTGGGGCTTCCTGGGGGCCCCTTGGGGGCTCTCGGCAGCCTCTTGGGGGCATCGTGGGGCCTCCTGCGAGCTCGAGATCTCCTCTCGGGGCGGTCTTGGGGCGATCTTGGGCCGTCCTGGAGCGTCGGGGCGCCAGAACGGCGAGAGCGCCGACATCTTTCAAACCACCGACGGACAGGCAACTATATTTGCCTCGTGGGAGGCCTCGTGGAGGCCTCCTGGGGTGTCTTGGGGGCGTCCTCGGCCGTCTGGCCGCCATCTTGCCTTGGCATCGCTCGGACGTGTGTATTTTTGTCCTTCGGCGAGGACCATTTGGCTTGGCATCGCTCGGACGTGTGCATTTTTCCTTCGGCGAGGAGCATCCTTGATCATTTGGCGGAAGAACCACGCACGAAACCGAAAAAAGCACAGGGAATGGACGTCCGAGCGATGGCCAGTTGGGCGCCCTGGACCGATCGTTCTACGGCTCGGGGCCCACTTCGGGGGGGCTTTCTCGGGTGCCCCAAGAGCCCGGGCGGCGCGCCCTGGCAGCGCCCACGGCCGCCCAGGGCCGCCCAGGACCGCCGGGGGCGCCTGAGCTCCTTGTGAGCCCTTACGGACCACAATGTTCCTCGCAGGCAGTCGGGGCGCTGAAGAAGGAACCCTTCTCGTTGGGGAGGGGCTCGGTGTTCCTCGATTGTTTTACAGCTCGCCTCAGGCTTTCCGGAGGTCTTCCATTGGGAAACAGAAGAAGAACTTGTGGCAAAAAGGGGCCTCGTTCCTTATTTAGGGTTCCCTAGGTCAACGCCCCGACTGTAGCTGCATGGGCCTTGGGCACTCCACCACCTGCCGAAGGCACGGTGGCGGGCCCAGGAGCGCCCCAAGAAGACCCCAGGCGACCCCCAAGAGCGCTCCAGGAGGCACCAAGGCAGCTCACAAGCACCCCAAGGCGACCCAAGACGGGCCCAGAGGGCCCCAACAGACTTTGGGAGCGCTCCTCGAGGCCCCCAAACGGCCCAAGAAAGCCCCGAGACGGCCCAAGAAAGCTCCCAAAGAAAGCCCAAGACGGCCCAAGAAAGCGGCCCAAGGAAGCCCCAAGATCCCCAAGACGGCTCCAAGATGGCGCCGAGACGGCCAAAGACAGCTCTCCAAGAACCCCTCGACGCGCCCAGACTGCCCAAGAAGACCCTAGAAGCCCACAAGAGGACCCAGGAGGCCCCCAAGAAGCTCCCAACAGGCCCCAAGACAACCCCTCGCGGCGCCAGGAGACCTAAGGGTAGCCTGATAGGGTCATCAGGACCCTCTCCTAATTCTACGTCCATCTCCAATTGCCGCTTACTGTCCTCCGTTGTCGTCGTCGTCGTCGTCGTCGTCGTCGTCGTCATCGTCCTCCGCATTCCTCCTTGTACTCGCCCGCGTTCTCTTCGCCCTCGTCCTTGTGCTTCTCTTCCTCCTCGTTGTCCTCATGCTCCTCCACGCTATCCTCACGTTCTCCATGTCGTCCTCGTCATCGCCTCCTCGTCGCCCCCGCCTTCCTTTTCTTCTTCTTCTTCGCCCAACGAGCCCATTGGACTAAAGCGGCGCTTCCCGTTCTTGTCCGATCATGTTTTGGTGGAGAGCGAATATGGTGTACTTCATGAGGGATTGTGATCTCGGCAGCGCGGACGTTACGAGGGATTCAGCCCCCACCCCAGGAATTCAGATTATGTTAGTCTGGGGTGGGAGCCGGGCAGTCTTCGGGCTCCCCCCCGCACAGATTTCAATCATTCTAGCAGTGGAGCTAGGACATATAACATCCATAACTTTTGATAAGGTACTGGGGCTGCTGTATGGAACTGGGCTCGAGGAATGGGGTTCGAGGAGGTTGTTGGACGATCTCAGGCGTTTCGGAGGGCTCTGTGGGGTTCTGGGAGGCCCTGGGCCCCCACTTCTGGCGACCCCCTCAGCGGTGACCCCCCCTTGGCACTGCCTGGGCTCGAAAGAAGCCTCGACGTGGAGGTGGCCGCCGACCGCGGAAGAGTGGAGCGTCCACCGCGAGAATGTGCCCACATCCACCGCCCCGGAGCCGTGCCCGCGGATCTCGAGGAGTGGTGGCTCCGGAGATCTGCCCCCCCCCCGGCAGTGGCGAGCAGACGTCCATCTGTCCGCCGCTCCCCGAGATCCCCACGGGGACACGGCCCCGCGGCCGGGGGATGTGGACACGCGACGGGGGCGTTCGTCCGGGAAGTGTGCCCCGGAGGTTTCAGACCCTGGAGGATCTCTTCTCTGAGGGAGGAGGAGGAGGAGGAGGAGGAGGAGGAGGAGGAGGAGGAGGAGGAGGAGGAGGACGTCCATGGTCAAGCCTCAGTTGGTGTCCCACCGACTTCCGAAGCCTGGATTCCTCATCCTGAGGAGCCTGTTCTCCACCACCACCATGCGTTGGAGGGGGAAGGAGGAGGAGAAGGGCGAGGAGGAGGAGGAGGAGGAGGAGGACCCCCCCTCCAACTCATGGTGGTGGTGGTGGTAGAACGCACGCCCATCACCAATGGTTCCTTGTCCCCTGCCCTCGTCTTCTGGACTCCGGGCCCGATCCCGCGGGCTCGCGGCGGCGCACGTAGAGGGAGAGCGGCGCGCCGCGGAGCCACGGGCGTACGCAGCCGATGGTTCCTTGTCCAGTGGCCCCTTTCCAACGCCCTCCTCCCTCCTCCTCCTCCTCCTCTCCTCCTCCCCTCCTCCTCCTCCTCTCCTCCTCCACCTCCTCAAACCCCTCCTTCTCCTCCTCGTCCTCCCCCTCCCCCTCCCCCTCCTCCCTCCTCCTCCTCCTCCTCCTCCGCCTCCTCCTCCTCCGCCTCCTCCTCGTCCTCCTCCGCCTCCTCGCAGTCGCATCGGCTGCCGCGCGCACGATGGTGCTCGCGTCTGCTCTCTGGCCGTCTTCCGCCCCTTCCTCCTCTGCTCCGCCTTCCCTGCCCAGATGCCGACGGCCAGCCCAGGGGGGAAGTGAGAGGGGGCGGGCCTTCTCAGAAGGCTCGGAAGTTCTCCAGCCTTCTGAGAGGTTCTTTGAGCCTTCCCCGACGACGGGGCAGACCTCTCAGAAGGCGCGAGGGCTCCTGAGAAGTCCCACCGCCTTCGCAGAGGGCCTTCTCCTTCTCATACGTATCCCTTTCCCCCCCTCGCTTGCCGCCGACCACGTCAGCGTGCAGAGCTGCCCCTCGGCTTCTCTGGAAGCTCTGCTCCTCTCCGCGAGGAAAAGCAAGGAGGCAGAATCGGGGGGGGAGTAGGATATACATTCTTTTGAAGCAAGGAGAGTCTACGTGCTGCACTCTGCAGCCTGCTCCTCCTCCGCCTCCTCCCTCCTCCCTCCTCCCTCCTCCTCCTCCTCCTCCTCCTCCTCCTCCTCCTTCCTCCTCCCCCCCCCGCGGTGCAATCCTGCTCCTCCTCCGCCCGCGGGCGCAGAGCCCTCCCGTTTAGAAGCCGCGCGGGGGCGCAGGCCGAGGCCTCCCTGCTGGCGGCGCAGGCCCTCAGCGAGCGGGCGCCCGCGCAGCTGCGGGGGCTGCTGTCGGCGCTGCAGGATCGCTGTCGGCGCTGCCCCAGCACACCAATGCTGTGTGTTCGTCGCCCCCCCCCTCCAGGGGCGACGCGCGCACCGAGAAATCTTGCAGTGTATACATATATATATATATATACATAGATACACATATATATAGATATATAGATACACGTGTATATATATATATATATATATATATATATATAGATATCTATGCATATGTATATGCGTCGTGGCGGGCGCATTCTGGCCACAGCGCTCGGGAGACGACCTGCTGCCAGATGGTCATGCTACATGCTCGGGGCGGAGGCGCGCCTCCGGGGAGGAGAGCTGCAGTACCAGTACGTCTCTTTGCGTCCCACGCTGGGCGCCGGCCGCGCCCCCCCCCCCTTGGCGCCGCTGGCGCTGGGAGGCGTCTGGTTCGAGCCGGCCCGAGTTCGATGGGCTTTTGGCATCGCTCGGACGTGTGCATGTTTCCTTCGGCGAGAACCATCGAGGAGCATCCTTGATCATTTGGCGAAAAAACCACGCACGAAACCGAAAAAAGCGCAGGGAATGGACGTCCGAGCGATGGCCAGGGCTGCTCCGACTCCCCTCTTCGATTCGCCGCCTTGGGGTGCCGGCTCTGGCGCCGCTGGCGCTGGGAGGCGTCCAGTTCGAGCCGATGCGACTTCGATGGGCTCCGACTCCCCTTCGATTCGCCGGCTGGGCTGCCGGCTCGGGGTCCGCTTTTTCGTTCTCGACGGAGGCGTGCTCGCCTGCAGCTTTCCGCCGGCTCGACTTGTCCGGACTCGGCTGCCGAGTTCCGCCGATCCGACCCATTTCGAGCGCGTTCCATTGCCCTCGGAGTTTGGTAGACCTCCTACCCTGACACGTCGATTAGTGAATTGGACGTTTTCGGTTCGCGGGAGGGCGTCGCAGCCGTCATTTTTGCGGGTCCAGGTCCGTCGGTTTCGGTCTTAGGCCGTTTTCACTAAAGGGTGGTTTACTAAAGGGAGACACATGTTTGCTTAGATGTAGTATATCGTGGATCCCCCCTCGGCGGGTACGTGCCATTTGCGAGCAGCTGCTCTGCAAGTCGTGGGACGCGCTCCTCGTCCTCCTCCTCCTCGGCCTCCTTCCCGTCCCCTCCCCCTCCCTCCTCCCCCGTCCTCCTCCCCCTCCCTCGTGCTTCTCCTCCTCCTCCTCCTCCTCCTCCTCCTCCTCCTCCCCCTCCTCCTTCCTCCTCCTCCTCCTCCTCCTCCTCCTTCTCCTCCTCCTCCTCCCTCCTCCTCCTCCTCCCTCCTCTCCCCTCCTCCTCCTCCTCCTCATCCTCCTCCTTCTCCCTCCTCCTCCTCCTCCTCCTCCTCCTCCTCCTCCTCCTCCTCCTCCTCTTCCTCCTCCTCAAGGCCTTGCAACGCCTGGCTGGCCTGGGTCTTCACTGGCCCGGGTCTACCGTGCGTCCCCGCGCAGGCTCCGAAGACCGGGGACTCCGACGATGCCTGTTTCTTCCCGCAGCCATGTGGGGCGCTCCAAAAAGGGCTTCGCCTTCGAGGGTCGAAGAAGTTGCCATCCTCCTCCTCCTCCTCTTCCTCCTCCTTTTCCTCCTCCTCCTCCTCCTCCTCCCCCTCCTCCTCCTCCTCCTCCTCCTCCTCCTTCTGCCGCGGAAGGCGGCGGAAGGGCGGCGGAAGGTCGGCGGAGGCTCGGCGGCAGGCTAGGCGGAAGGAAGAGGTGCGCCCCCAAGAGATGAAGACGTTTTTGGGTTCAGGGTTTCCGGAGTCCGCCATGTGCTGGGGTGCTGCGTTCTCGCTTTGGAGGGGCGGCGCCTCGCGTCTCCATCCTTCCTGCCCGTTGCCCCCCCTTCTTCCTCTTTCTCGGGGGGGAAGAGAGCGCGCAGGCACAGCTCGTCGATTCCGGGAAGTGGTGGGGAGAGGAAGCTCCAGAAGATGGGGACAAACATGGGGAGTCTTGGGATTCGTGTCCCTGGGCCCCCTGATTCTCCCCTCCCTGCCCCTGTCCTCCACAATGCCAATCATTTCCGCACACCCCTCCCGAGGCTCGTGTCCGCACGGGGAGCTCCACCGACTGCCCCAGTGGCCGCCTTCGCATGGCGGTGCCGCACATATTTCGGCACACCCCTCGCGCGTTTCGTGGCCCCCATGGGAAGCTCCACCAAGAGCCCCAGTGGCTGTATTCGGCTTGCGGCGCCGTGCTCGTCTCGGCACACCACTCACGAGGATCGTGGCCCCATCGGGAGCTCCACCGAAGGCCCAAGTGGCCGCGTTCGCATGATGGCACCGCGCCGATCTCGGCACACCCCTCACAAGGATCGTGGCCCCATAGGGGGTTTGACCGAAGGCGCAAGTGGCTGCGTTCGCATCACACAGAGCTCCACCGAAGGCCCCAGTGGCAAAGTTTGCGCAGCGGCGCCGCCCCATCGGCACACTCCTCACGAGGGTCGTGGCCCTATAGGGAGCTCCGCCGACACCGGTACCGGCAACGCGGGACTCACATCTGCATTTGGTTGGGTCTTTCGCAGGGATAATTTTGAATCCCAGTGTGTTCCGTCGATTTCGGCCTTTGGGGTTCTGGTCTTGGGACCATCAGAGGTCCATCCCAGACGAAAAGCTACCAGGGGGGAGGCGGTCGGGACCTGAGGGGGCCGCGGATAGAGACAGTACTATATTGTTTCGATCGGTCCCCACCCAAACATTTGGCGTTTCTCCCAAACGGTGTGCGCGCCGACTGAAACGATGCGTGCGACAGCTCGGCAGGGGAAGCGGACTGAGCAAATGGTGGCGGAGAAATTGATGGTCGAATGTGTTCTGCGCTGTTGTGTGCCATTGTGCCCCGATGCTTGTATAGTATATGATACGCTCTTCTGCTATAGTCTGTTATGGTCAATTGTAATAGTTGTTTTTCTCTTTCTGCCATTATCTGCTTAATTATGTTATACCTTGTTGTGTGCTGACCAGTCTTTACACATAACAGTGTGCTACACTTATGATTTATGCTTTGTGCCATCGCTTAATACGTTGTATTACGTCACCGTTTCAGCAGGCTTGTGTTGTTTCCTCTTTCATCTGCGATTTGGTAGGTTCTGATCGGATAATGGTGTGTACGGTTCTCGTTCGTATGGTTATGTTTTGGGATGTGATGTTATCATTTGTTCTAATAGTTGTTTGTTTCCTGATCGATTGTTATGCACTGCTATGTTCGTTTCCATTGAAAGCCAACTATTGCTCCATACCAGTTGTCTCTATCATGGTATGTCTGTGCTAGGTTATGTCGTGTTCTGTCTTGTGATGTTCTGCTCTGTTCTAGTCAGTCCTTTTCGTTAATTGTAGTGTGATTGGTAATGCCCTGTCACGTTCAGTCCTGTTTTAATCTCCCTTCGAGTCCTTTCGGTTATTCTATGTTGGAGCCTACTATCTGTATTCAGTGATCTGAGTTTCCATTGCGCTCTGCTCGATCATCTTCTTCCATTCTTGTAGAAGACATTGTGTGATCCTCTGTAAGGCTATCGTCTGTTCTAATATCTTATGTTCATTTATTCGGTACCATGCTTTCTTCTCTTCTCTTCTATTATATGCAACTGCATTGCGTTATGCTCTGTTCTGTAGTTTGCTTCGTAGCTGTAGCGGCGTGACGTTGTGACGTCTGGACGGCGTGACGCCGTGCATTTCGGCGTAGACGCAAGGCGGGCCACTCAGGGACCACAGGTGGTCTACTGGGATACGGTGACCGCGGTACGCAGTACGGGTGAGGCGGGTCGGGAGCATTGTCCCTAAGATCCAACAGTCGGTCGCTGCTGTTTTCTATGTATGTGCAAGATGCTTTGTCTGATCCTGAATATGTTCACAGACATTCGTACGCTATGGTATGACAGGTGGTGTGATGCTTCCTGATGCCACCTGATATTACGTGCAGTAGTGTTATACCCATCTATTTCTCTTACGGTGCTTCGAAACTCTGTGATGCGTAAGTGTCATGTAATAAGTTGTCCTGCCATGCGATGGTTTCGCAAATTCTTGCGAATCTTGTTTTGAGTTCAGTATTTGTCTGTCTTAGAGTATGCGTTGCCACGTTATGTTTCGATCCTGCCATCGCCTGATCTGGTTTTCAGGGTTTTGCGATTCTCCGCAATGCTGGGTTGTGCTATCTGCGATTGTTTCCGATTGGGAAATTTGCAGGCGTAGTTGTAGTAGTAGTCGTGGTAGTAGTATTTGTAGTATTAGTAATATCAGTAGTAGTAGTAGTAGTAGTAGTAGTAGTAGTAGTAGTAGTAGTAGTAGTAGTAATAGTAGTAGTAGTAGTAGTAGAAGTAGTAGTAGTAGTAGTAGTAGTAGTAGTAGTAGGTGTAGTAGGTGTAGTAGGTGTAGGTGTAGATTAGATGTAGATGTAGTATTAGTCGTAACAGTAGTGTTAGCAGAAGGAGTTGCAGTAGTAGTAGTAGTAGTAGTAGTAGTAGTAGTAGTAGTAGTAGTAGTAGTAGTAGTAGTAGTAGTAGTAGTAGTAGTAGTAGTAGTAGTAGTAGTAGTAGTAGTAGTAGTCGTAGTAGTAGTAGTAGTAGTAGTAGTAGTAGTAGTAGTAGTAGTAGTAGTAGTAGTAGTAGTAGTGGTATTAGTAGTCGCCGTAGTCGTAGTCGTAGCCGTAGTAGTAGCAGTAGTAGTAGACGCCGTACCAGCCTTACTAGTAGTAGTAGTGGCTGTGGTAGTTGTAGGTGTCGATGTAGTATTCGTGGTCGTAGTAGTAGTCGTAGTGGTCGTAGTCGTAGTAGTAGTAGTAGTAGCAGTAGTGGTAGTAGTTGTAGTAGTAGCAGTAGTATTGGTAGTAGCAGTGGCCGTATCAGTGTTAGTAGTAGTAGTAGTAGTAGTAGTAGTAGTAGTAGTAGTACTAGTAATACTAGTAGTAATAGTAGTAGTCGTCGTGGTAGGAGTACCAGTAGTAATAGTTTAGCTAGTAGTCGTAGTCGTACGTTTTGTAGTAATTGTAGAGGGCGGCAGTCACAAGCGTTTAGTTAGTGCTGAGTAGTAGTGGCC